CACACACACACACACACACACACACACACACACACACACAGCCTATGCGCTGTCAGTCCCAGCTTTGGACACATAATTTCCTGCTTTCCTCAACCGAATGTCATTGAGCCACATGGCAGCTTTAGTCTCCAACACAATCACGACCAGCCTGCTGTCATGTATATATTTAAATGGGACTTGACTATAAAAACACTCCTGCTTAATGATTATATTTGATTGTCATCTGAACTGTGTCCATTTTCCTGGACTGATGTAATAATTAATGCACCATTAAACAGATGGCATGAAATCCCATCACCTTAGATTACACAAGATGTGATTCACTTTACGATTATTTCACAGAATTCATGCAACATCTTATTTTTTCCATTTTCCTATTTTTACATGCATTTATTTGTTTTTTTTTAGTGTTTACAGTTTTAGTGGTCAATTAACATTTCTTATTATTATCAGTGTTGCTGCTTAATATTTTAGTGGAATATTAATTCATATGGATTAATATTGCGGATATATTTTTTTCAGGATTCTTTGTTGAACAGAAAGAACACCATTTATTTAAAACAGAAATAGAAATCTATGTTTTTACTGTCTGGCCGGCGCTACAGAGCACTGAGCACCAGAGCAGCCAGACATAGAAACAGCTTCTTCCCTCAGGCCTTCGACCTCATGAACAGTTAAATGTTCTCCCCACTGTGCAATAAAACATGTGCAATACCCAACTATCCATACTTATATTTATTATACGTATGCTATTGATTTAACATATCTATCCACATTTCCTTGCATAATTTGTATATAGCACATTTGTATACTGTCTATTGTCTTTTTGTCTATATGTTTTTACATATTTATTTTTACTCACTTATTTTTATTTTGTTATCTGTGCACTGGAAGCTTCTGTCACCAAGACAAATTCCTTGTGTGTGTGTAAGGACACTTGGCAATAAAGCTCTTTCTGATTCTGTCTATTTTGATCAGTTTAATGCTTTTATGCTTGTTAAATAAATGTATAGATTTCTTTTTAAAAAAGTGACCCCAAACTATATACAGTAGGGTACAACGGGGCTAAAGGCGCCCTGAGGTAAAAGATGCCTTTGATATTATGTTAATCTAAACCACTAGATGGCACAAAAACGTGGCGTAGCACTTTCCAAAACATGCGCTTTTCAAGATGCACCTGTATATTTGTCTGATCTTTGACGCGATCGCACGCAGCAGTGCAAAGTTGATTCTGTGCTTACTTGATCTAATATTTGATGTTTTTTAAAATGTTGTAGATTTAAGTAGCAAATGAGAATCGCTCAAATTAATGCATATGTTTTGAGACAAATGTCTTCTTTATGAATTTCTGTTTTGTTTAAGATA